TGGGAGCATGGTGAGGCTTGGAGACCACAGGAAAAAGACAAGGGCCAGAGCCCCCCACGTCCCAGTGCGGGGCCCTCGCTGTTGCACCCTGCCAGCCCTCAACAGCTCCACAACACCCTGGGGCAGCTGCCGCTACTCAGTGCCTTGCTGGCAGAGCTGTCGGTGCTCACCCACAGCACCATGCCTGCTGCTGTCCATCCCCATCTGGCCTGGCTCTACCAGGCCCGTGGGGGTGGTGGCACGGCCTCACGGGCCCCCAGCCCTAGCCATTCCTCTGCACTCAAGCCTGCAGAGGCACCTGTGGGGCCTGGTGGGAGCAGTGGAGCTGCCAGCCCTCAATGCAAGCAAGGCCAGCAAGCGGCCACCTCACTAAGGTCTTCTCAGGCTGTGAGAGTACAGAAGAAAGCTGTACCCCAGGGAGAGAGAGGCTCTGAAAGAAACTGCAAAACTAAGGAAAACAGGCCTCCCAGAAGGAAACTGTTGTACGGGCTGACAAATACACTGAGGCTACGGCTGCAGCGGACCAACCCTGATAAGCTGATAATTCATGAAAGGAGAGAACAGTACAGAAAAAAGCAAATGGAGATGCTGAAGGAGAGAAGCCCTTTATCCAAAAGAAAGCTGCTCAGAAATGCTGGAGAACAGGACGTGGTTTCTTACAGGCATTGTAGCAAGGAAGACAGTTCAAAGCAGAATAATCAGTTTGATAAAACTGTTGAGACTTCATTACAAAACAGTGCTCTCTCAAAGTACCTCTCCATGACAGGAGATGTGTCCCCTGACCTGCAGAAACAAGCTACTGAAAGTCTCTTGAAGAACGATAAAATTGTAACCAAGGAACATCCATGCAAAGCAACTACAGCCCCCTTAGTGGATGAACCTGTATTAAAATCTGATCACGGGGAAAAGTATGCGAAAGTCCAACTCCCAGCAGCTTTCCCGTCAGATGCTAATGCAAAGGGAAGTAATGAGGAAGCAATACACTTAATCCATACTAAAACCACGAAGCGTGATGATGCATCTGTTGTAAGTGATCATAAACCAAGCCCCAGCAGGAGTGTTGAAAACAACTCTGAATTCATATACTCAGATGACTTTGTTGCTAGTCCTGAGAACACAGTTTATTCCGAAGATTTCACCAGTGCTGAGTGTACGGGCAGAGACTCGGAAGCTCTTGACAGCAGTCCTGAACCTCAGTGGCTTGAAAGCCCAAAGCGAGGTTGGTCAGATACAGAGCTGGAATCCAGCAGGTCTAGAATTTCAAAGACAAGTCAAAGAGCTGAAAGTACTTCAGATCTTCTGCCAGTTCCTTCAGTTTCATCTCCAGTCCAGTCTTCGATGAGAAACCGTGGCTTAAAAACCAGCATGCAAAGTAGTGGTGAATCCATTGATTCGCTTAATGATGCCTCCATTCGAGCAAGGTTATTAGCTGAAGAGCAGGAAGCCCAACAGATCAGTAAGAAAGAGAAGAGGGGTGATCAGCGTATTAAAGAAGTATCTACACTGAGAAACAAACGAGTTAGCTCTGATACTGATCGGAATATAGGTAAGGAGCAGACGTCTGCAGGAAAAAGCCAGTCAGAAACTCAAGTTAGCTCTTACTTGCCATCTAACATGTCTGATCTTGAACTTGGTGTCCTGGAAAACAGTATGTCAGATAAAGAGGATGATTTTCTGGGAACACTACGTGTTCCTAATCAATACAAAGACATTAGTGATCTTGTAATAAACAAACTTCCAGGATACACAATGTAATTACAAGTTTTCCCTGTCTGGATTAAGATACGATATTTAAGCTTTATAAGGCCTGTTACTTTTAGCTGCAATATATACAAGTTAATTTAAGACTTTATTATGCACGTTTAATACATTGGTGAATTTACTCAAGAGGTTTTTAAAATAAACTACTGTTTGAATCTCTAACGAATGGCTCTTAAGTGGTGTCTACAGCATGACTACAGTGTCAGTATCCTCATACCAAAGTCATCCAAACAGCATAAGAAACATAACTTACTGTCAAAAACAGAAACAAAGACAGAAGCAGCAAGCAAATGCAGTCAGAACCCACAAGACTTGTCCAGTGTAGAAGTAGTAACATACTATAGAAACAGCCACATACAAAATAACTGAAGTCCTAACTGAACTTTCAAGTTTTTATCTCTCACTAATATAGTTCCATGCTTGATTTTCATTACAAATAGTTACTTAAAACACACACAGTCACAGCCAGTAACAGCACAGGCTTTTACCAGCTAATCTGTATAACGATGTAGTTGTTTCACTGTTCTATCGCTAAATACAGTGACCGGAACTAGATGAGCCCTTTTAGAGTTTCTTAGGTGGAAGTTTCTCATTTAGGTCAAATTTTCACAATTTATTATAAAATAGTTTAAGAATTATTGGTGACAGTAAATCAATATAATCCAGGAGAGCTTTGAGAGGTTGATGGAAGTTACTTGACCTTGAAGACTAAGAGTGTGCAAAGAGTAGGGAAGAGTGCAGTAAATTTTCAACGCTTCGCAACTCCCCAATTGCATTCTCTGACCCTGAGGAAAGGGGAGGTCAGCACCCACAGTCCAGAAACTCGGAACAAATGAGCATATTACATCATGATTTAAGGATTTGAGATAATGAATAATTCGCCACATCTCCTTTTCTGTTCCGTTGGTTGAACTACTACCTGCCACATCCCCTTTTTTGTTATGGTGGCTGAAATACCATCTCATGTTCGCTTTTGGTTTCTGCTTTGGTTTTTATGACTTCCAGTTTGATCACTGAACTTAATGTCTTTTCTTTTGCTTAACTCCTGAGCTTTTTTAAAGTCCATATCCCTGTTACAAATTTCAGAGACGTTCTTTGACTTGAATCTGAAGAGAGCTCAAAATTCTTGCCTTAGTTTTTAGATCTCTCTTGTCCCTCCTTTCTGCTTTGAGGAGTTCATCTCCTTTGCCAGCTTTACATTCCTAACTATCTCCAATCTGACTTCTTTTCCCAACTTTTTCATTTCTCACTGTCGTTCTCCATGTACTTACCGGAAGAGCCTGTGTTTAACATCTTGGAGGGATATTTTATTTCCATCCTACTATGTGTTTATTTTGTACGAATGACAGCAGATCTTCTATTTAAAGTACTAGCATCTGTGAGGATTACTCAAGTATCTGGTGTTGACTTCTGAGAACACCACTACTAATATTTTTAATCTAAAGGTAAGCAGCTGAAATTACCCATATATCAAAGGAATCTCTGGCCAGAGCAATTTTTAAATGTTAATTAGGGTGCCTCTGTTTCATCAGCATCAATTCTAGACCAAAATATATTTTTTTCTTTTTTCTTCTAATGCCATGGACTTCTTTGATATGCATGGATTCAGACTGTCATTTATACATGTCAGTAATTCTGATTTTATTGATGGAATAAGATCTTGTGGTTCTCTTGGGCAAAACTCTCATTAAAATACAATGCTGTCCAGCCATTTTTACCGTGCGGCTATTTAAATGAATTGCTAACACTAATAGTCTATTATTTGAAGATCATTATCTAAGTTTATTTTAAATATAAATCTCTTTTCAACCCCAAATAGGTTGAAACTCAAGGGCAAATTTCTAGTCCTTTTTCTATCCCCGATCGCATCTTCACTTTTCAATTTCCAGAAGCAAATATGGTAAGAACAATATTTCTTTTGTTTAAATAATGAAACTAATCTATTTTCAGGTAATTTGATTTGGGATAACATTTCTAACATTTATCGTGTAATAGTGTTTATAATTTTATCAGGAGAATGATGAAAATGACAGAAAATGCATACTAGGAAGACAATAGGAGGCATTATGCAAGAACAGAACATCAGCATCATGCTTACATGTTTTAGTTTGGTTTTGTCTTCTCAAATATAGACTCAAAGTAGTTATTAATGCATGGAGAGGTTAACAGATAGTTTCTACCCTCCGGGATAATAATATTTTCAGATGTTAGCTATGTCGTGAGAGTAGATGAAATTTTACTTAATATTCAAACAGCAATTCTCAGTCAACAAAAATGGAAAGAACTTCTGTGTCACTGATTTATCATTGAAAACTCATAAACCAATATATTGGCAAGAAGTACCTGCTAATAACAAGATGATTCTATATGTTAACTCAGCAAAACAGAGATATTTACTATCAGTACAAAATAAATAAAAAAAAAAAAGGCACCAACAAACTCCCTTTTGTCCAAATCCTGTAATAGTCTACACTCAACTACATTATACTAGCCAGCCAATTTTGTCATTATAACTTGCATCTTGCACCTCTGTGATCAAGTTGTTCATGTCAAAGGTTTAATAAGACATTTCTCTACTTTAATGGAAGTATTACACCAATTTTTCATAAAGACATCATTTCTAAATTGTAAGGGCTAAATTGCATGGATTATGTTTATGCAGGGGACATGGCAATACGCTGGGGGAAGCAAATAATAGTAGCATATCCCCCGCAGTTCTTGCACAGCTTTCCCAAAAGTAATGTAGATACTTCAGAATATGTGTATCTGTTTTTTAGATACTCCACAACCATCCCAAGAAGTAGAGCCACAGTGGTAGAGATGAGGTGCCCAGGTGAAGTAGTGGAAGTGTCAGTACTCTCTCTGGTACTTCTGCACTGCTTTTCAGATTCAGTCCTAAGAAAGCCAAAGCATTGGAAAACCACGTTCCTAGAAAACATCTCAACTCAAAGCTGTTCCCTAAAATCTGCTTCATAGGCTAGAAAAAGAGGAGATAGATGACAAATCAAATCTTGACCCACTACACACAAAAATCCTGATTTGAAAACTCAGCTTTTTGAGCAAGACTAGCTAATTTTGCCACATGCATTCAATCCACGGTTCTTTGTCAGAGTTCCTGGAATGATTATTTATTAGTACTCGTTACAGTGTGGGCCTTTATCCACTAAATGGTTTCTTACAGTCCCCCAGCCATCTGCTGAAGGTTGAGCAATCCCCAGAAACACGCAGTCTCTGTTACAGATTTGTTATGTGCTTGACAGAGCCAACGGCTAGTCACAATGCAAAGTGTCAAAAAACCCAAAATATTTACTAAAAGCTCTCTATTTCCTAATTTCCCATAGCCCTCGGAGATTTCATATACAATCGTAATTTTACTGAATTTGCTGTAGTTTTTGTAGTTTTTTTTTCTCATTCAGTCATTAACTCCAAAAATTTCCTCGCTCTGCACTATTGAGCAGTAAACTATAGTTACTTCAAATTCCAGTTTTACACTGTTAGTTACACTTTACTACAGTGAAATGAAAATGTGAGAACTAATTACCAAAGTTCATTATAAATCCTCACTGAAGCCATCTAGCTTCTTACTTTTGACTTGTTACTTTAGCAACTGATCTTTGCTTTAAATCTGTATGATATTCTAGAAATAAGGTAGATAGGTGTTCAAAATCATAGTTTTATTGCTTAAGATAAAGGTGGTTAAATCAGCTCAAATCAAATTGAACTTACTGTTTCACTCTAAGTCTCAAACTGAGAAATAAACTCGTAGATATACACCTAAGGTATTTTCAGAATTTATGACCTTAAAACAAGTTTGCTATGACTGTCTTTTATACAGTTATTTCAGCATTCCCCACATGCAGTACTGCGTTCAGCTCTGGGGCCCCCAACATAAGAAGGGACCTGCTGGAGTGGGTCCAGAGGAGGACCATGAAGATGATCAGAGGGCTGGAGCACCTCTGCTATGAAGACAGGCTGAGAGAGTTGGAGCTGTTCAGCCTGGAGAAGAGAAGGCTCTGGGGAGATCTTCTAGAAGTCTTCCAGTACCTAAAGGGGGCCTGCAGGAAAGCTGGAGAGGGACTTTTTGCAAGGGCGTGTAGTGATAAGACAAGGGGCAATGGCTTTAAACTGAAAAAGGCGAGATTTCGATTAGATCTAAGGAAGAAATTCTTCCCTCTGAGGGTAGTGAGGCACTGGAACAGGTTGCCCAGAGAAGCTGTGGATGCCCCATTCCTGGAGGTGTTCAAGGCCAGGTTGGATGAGGCTTTGAGCAACCTGGTGTAGTGGAAGGTGTCTCAGCCATGGCAGGTGGATTGGAACTAGGTGATTTTTAAGGTCCCTTACAACCCAACCATTGTATGGTTCTATGATTTACGATGTCAAATCATTGACTCTTACATGAACATCCTTAAAAGGTTTTGCTGACTTCTACATGCGCAATCTTGACCAGCTCCTGTGAAATGTAACACCACTCACTCAGAGCTGCAGAATGATCATCCAGAACTCTTGAATATTTGCTCATGTTTATCAGATATCAAATTTCTCTACCTCTCCTAAACCCTGCCTGTAATCCTTTTCTAAGGTTTTGATTTCCAAACTGCCCTTCCTTTTAAGATGACTGAGGCCATCTCTGTGAGAACGGATGTTGGCTTTAATTTAACGTGCATTTAGAGCTAATGGCAATCACACCTACTATAGCTAATGTTTGCTACCAGCTATCTGCTTGCACTTGCCATCCTCCCTTTCTAGTCAGAATACTATTTGCTTTTAATTTCAGTTTTGTTCACATTCAGATTCTTCCCTCATTTTAAATTCCTTGTATGCATGCAGTTCTGTTATGTTGAAGTCACTCAGATGAGCTGCAGCTTCACTGCCTTTTTCTTGTTTGGCATTGACATTCACCTATATTAAACTGTTTTTGTTTTGTTTTGGCTTTTATGATTTCACTTGTCTGAATTTAATATGACAATTGTAATGTAAACCTCCCCTGACTTTAT